GGGGACCGAAAGCAACTGTTGGGAGGTGATCTGCAAACCAAGGGAGGAAGGAGGACTGTCATTGATCGATCCTGGCGCCCAGAGCACAGCATTGCTGGCTAAATGGATCCTTCGAGTTGCAGAAGCAGAAGAAAGAGTGGATTGGATTCTCTTAGCAGAATCATTGCTTTGCTCTGATTGGAATCTTAAACGTCCTGGAGACGTTTGGGTGGTAAAAATGTCCAAGACTTTTGCCAACAAGAAGCCACATTCCAAATTCTGGCGAGAAGTGCTTGCAGCATGGAGGAAAGCAAGACCATCTATCACACTCCAACCAAAATCCAAGGAGGAGGTGAAGTTGTGATGCCCCAACCTCACGCCCAACGCGACTTCCTGATCGGAGTGGTGCGTGCGGCCAGGCTTGATTCTGGTATCTGTCGCGCGAAAGTCTGGCATTGTAACCTACTGAGCTAGCTCCTATCACGATGCTGATAGGAGAAAATCTTCTATAAGAAGAGCTTCGCCCCGGCCATTCTTCCTGTCTGTGGCCTTGAAGGCCCTGCCTGTCTGAGGCCTTGCAGGCCCCGCCTGTCTGCCTGTCTGCCGCTTTCCCGCGGATGGCTGTCCATCCATGGCTCCGGGGTTACCTAGCGGGTAGGCCTCAGCATTGGCCTGCTGGCCCCCCTTGGCTCGAGGTCAACCCCTGCGGCCCAAGAAATAAAAAGAAAACTTCATATTCCTTCCGCGGTGTGGTCCCACGCCTAGAGCGACTATTCTTTTTAGCCTACCTAGGCCCCGAGTCATGCGCAGGATAGGTTTAACTTTAGCTCTCACATGTCCGCGCGCTTCTATAATTTCTACAAAAGCGAAGCATTGCCAATTACAATCGTTACTCTCGGACGCCATAAACGTCCAGACTGAAATTCAAAACTTTTAGTTTATCTGTCATAGGTCACGTCTGAATAATGTTTGGCAACGTCAGTCTCATCAAGTCCTTCAATTCAACGAAAGAGTCGGACAACGTCCGACGTTTAAAATCCCCGGCAAATACCCTTATCAGGGCATTTGCCCCGATAATGTTGTTGTCACCCGTGACCGCCATCTCGGTCGTATTGATCAAGCCCCTGTTGTAGTGTTCATGGTCATCCCAAGTGAAGCAGCGCAGTGAAATGAAGGGAGGCAAAGAAAGTGACAGAAAGGAGAGTTGCAAGTGAAGGAAAACGTAGTAAGAGAGAATGGCATGAATCTGGTTGGGTGAGTCGGTCGGGTGCATTCAGTAACAAAGGAGAGCTTGGGTAGGAGGATCAATGGGTGAAAGGAAGGACACACCGTATGAAGTAAGAAAAGAGAATAAGAGAAGATTGGTAAGGGAGGACAATGTGAAGTGATCATGATGTCAAAGAGGGAGCGAACTTGGTGACAAATAGACAAACGAAGGGATGGAAGAGAACAGAGGGAGAGTGAAGAGAAGAGTCGAGAGCATAGCCGAGTTTACCTGTCGAGCGTAAACAAAAGTGACTGAGGGGCAGCATTGGAGGCAGTAAATCTGCCCAGGATCCAACATAAAATTCATTTTCAATTGGCACTTTTCGGGAGTATCAAAGTCGGGAGCCGTCTTTGAAATTGTCAAAGCCATCTTGTTCATTGCAGTTCATGTGTTGTGCTCGCCCTTGAGGTCTTCCTTGTGGTACCTAGTACTGCACCCGTTCATGTCATGCTCATTGACAGAATCGCTCACACACGGGGCTATTTGCAGAGGAAT